CAGGGCGAGTGGACCTGGCAGGTGGGCCCTGCAGATCCCCCAGCCGGGTGACTGCATGGGAGGGAACAAGCATGGGGAGTGCTGGGTGGGCGGCACCAGAAGGTCATGAGGATTCACACATGCACGGTTCATCGTCAGCTACTGCTTACGGGCCACCTTGCCCATTTTTCTAATTCAGCCTGGAAACAACCCGAGAGGCAGATGCGGGTGTTCCCGCCATTCAGATGATGGAATGGAGGCTCAGAGAGGCGGAGAGTCCTGCGTGCAGTCCCGCGGTGACAAAGCAGGGGGGCCGCCGAGGTTCCGTGGACCACGGAGCCTGTGGTCACGGCGTCACCCTGCTCTGGGGGAGCCCAGAGAGGCAAGACCCGGGAGTGGCGTGTGGCTGGGCTGTGAGGCAAGGACCAAGGACAGTCCCTAGAGGCGGATATTTGGACTCAACCCTGAAGGACAAGTTCACCAAAGAGGGAACTCGGGGAGAGGGGGCACCTGTCCTGGGCCGGTCCCCTCTCTAGCTACCTGCTCTCCTTCCTGTGCCAGGCGCGCAGGTTAAGCGCCCTCCACACACTGCGGCCCTCCGCCAGCTGCTGGGGGCCTGCTTCCTCCCCCAGAATCCCAGGCCGGTCTCCAGCAGCTGCTGGCCATGGCCACACAGGCGTTCCGGAGGCAACTCCAACCTGACACAGGGCATGCAGGCAATTTCGGTTTCCTCCCCTCCAAATATGCAGCCCCCCCCTCCCAGTCTCCCCAATCTCAGGCCCGGCTGCTCCCCAACTGTTCAGGCTAGAGACTGGGAGTTTCCTGGACCCTACCCATTCCTCACCCCCACAGGGTCTTTTGGGGTTTTTTTTTTTAATCCTCGCCTAAAGATATTTTTTCATTAATCTTTTTAGAGAGAATGAAGAGAGAGGAGAAGACATAGAGAAATATCAATGTGAGAGAAACACATCGATTGGTTGCCTCTTGCATGTGCCCCAATCAGGGCCTGGGCCAGGGAGGAGCCTGCAACCCAGGGACGTGCCACAGGCCGACATTCTATCCACTGAGCCTGGCCGGCTAGGGCCCAGGGGCCTTCTTTTGGTTCTTCAAACACACGATCCACTTTTCTACCCCAGGGCCTTTGTGCTTGCTGGTCCTTCTGCCTGGGATTTCCTTCCATCCCCTCAATTCCTAGGGCTGACACTCAGGTGTTGTCTTAGGTGTCATCTCTCTGAGTCCTTCCCTGGCCTCTCGGGCTCAACCGCTGTCCCCTCTGCTGCAGCCTCCATTGTGGCCCCCCGGGCGCCTCTCATCACTAGCTGAGCTTTTCCTCATTCACTTATTTCCCAGGTGCTCCCACTACAGGGTGTGCTCCCAGGGTAGCTCCTGTCTGTGTCTCTCTCACTGCAGCGCCCCAGGGGGCTCAACACCCAGCAAGGCTTGCACCCTGTCCTGCTCAGTGGCCTAAAATCGCTCCCTCTCTCCCAGTTTCAATTCTGTTTCTCTGACTTTTTCTCTTTTGAGTCACTTCCCATTTGGGGGAGGAAGAAAGAACCAAGACTTGTAGTTCCTTTCCAGGCAAAGAAGGAAATGACCCACCGGGCCTGTGTCCAGGGGAGAGGGCGGGACAGGGGTCATGCCCGCGACCTCCCCTGAGTCAGGACCAGCTTCCTGGCCGGGACTCCCCACCTCCCCAGTCCCTGCTCATTGCCTGCCTCTTGCCTGGAATGGCTGCCCTTTCCAGATCCTACATCAAAGGGCACCGGGCCTCTTCCACGTCACCTGCCTCGTTTGTGGCTAAGAAACGTGAGCTGTGAGACGTGACACGCGGAGGCAGGCGGGCCTCCCCCTGGGCACATGGCACTGCATTCTGGGGCCTGCTCTGCCCCAGCCCGACCCCAGCAGGCCACTTCCTCATAGGCCAGGCATGGGCGTCGGGTGGGGGCTTTGGATGCTAAGGTCAGCAGTCCCAGAGGCTACTCGGGCCCAGAGCAGACACCCTCAGCCCTCTCGGAGGCCCGCCTGGCGCCTGTGTCTCAGAGGAAATGTCACTAGAGTTCGGACATCTCCTGGGATGTGCGGACTCCAGCCTCTCCCCTAGACCGCTGCAGGGGACAGCCCTGGAGGAGGCCTCCTCCCCAGCACCCCGCAAGCCCGCGTCTCTCTGGGCAGGAGCCCTGGTCCCACGGCTACCCACCCGCCTTCCTGCCCTGAACCATCCCCGGGGCTGCAGGTCAGTGACAAGGGGACCCAGCAGGGAGGACCGATGGGGTCAGTGACGGCCAAGGTCAGAGCCTCCATCCACCGTGGGGCGGTGGGGAAGCCTCTCTTCCGGGACTTCTGGATGGAGCCAGGCCCCCACCGATGGGCGACCCCAGATCCCAGTGCAGGCTGATCCGAGGGCTGCCTTCAAGGGCACGCAATCCGGGCAGTGGCGGGGGCCCTGCACTTGAAAGGCCCCTATGCTTGGGGGCCTCCTGTTCTCCCATCTTCGTCTTGACATTCTTAATAACTTTTGAACCCCGCATTGAAATTTTGCACTGGGCCCTGAGAATAATGAAGCCAATCTTGCAAGCCCAGACCATCAGCCCCCACCTCAGCTCCCCCTCCCCCTTTTCTTTACTCACCCCTCAAACCCCCTTCACCTGTCAACGGTCAAAATACTCTGTATCTGAGTCTGCATCTGTTCTGCTTGTTTATTTTGTCTTTTAGATCCCACAGAGAAGTGAAATCCTATAGCATTTGTCTTTCCCTGTCTGACGCATTTCACTCTGATAAATACCCTGTAGTTCCATCCACGTTGCTGCAGATGGCGAGATTTCGTTCTTTTTTTATGGCTGAGTCATACTCAATTTCTATATGCGCCACATCTTCTTTATCTAATCATCTGCTGGGCACTTCGGCTGCTTCTATATCTTGGCTATTGCAAACAATGCTGCAATGAACATATGTCTTTTCAATTTTGTGTTCTGGGTCTCTTCAAATCCCCACACGTGGAATGGCTGGGTCTTTCTTTGCCTCTCGGTATGAATTGGTAGTTACAGAATAGTCACCTCGATGTAGAGTACAGCACAGGGAACAGAGCCGATCATATTATAATTACTACGTACGGTGTCCGACGGGTAGGAGTTTTATCGGGGTGACTGCTTCATGAGTTAGATAGATGTCTAACCACGGGGTTGGACACCTGAAACTAACATAACATGGTACATCCACTGTTAACCTGAAACTAATATAACATGGTACGTCCACTGTTAACCTGAAGCTAATATAACATTGTAGGTCAACTGTTAATTTGAAAATAAATAAATAAACGAAAAAGAGAGCAGTAGGAAAAGCATGAACCTTTGGGTCAGACAGACTTGGCTCACATCCAGACTCTGCTGCTTACCGTCTGAGTGACCTCAGAAGTGTTACTAAACCCCTCTGTTCTCAGCTCATCTCTAACATGAGGGTTATAACTATACCTACTTCGAGGGCTCTTGGGAGGATTAAAGGAGATGATACAAAGTGCTTGGAACTGTGTTCCACTGTCCGCCCCACCACTTGCTCCAACGTGAACATCACTTCTTTGTAGGGTGATTTACCCGGTGTAAAAGGAGGGTAACTGGGTGCCCACTGCATAGGGCTTAGGGAGCAACCATCAGCATCCGCATCACCCCCTCCTCCAGGAGACCTTCCCGACAGCCCTCCTCTGGGGCTGACTGTTGCCTGCGCTTGCTGCCACACCAGCACATGTGACATTTAATAGGAATTATTTCTGTGTCTATCTTCCCCTCCCAGACTTGGAGCTCTTTGGGGCAGGAATAGAGCCAGGTGCTGCTGGCATCAGCAGAGGGTGAAGGATGAAGGAGTGAACAGATCAGGGGAGTTCAGTTATCCCTGGGAGCTGCTCATTCACTGGAGTAGTAACCCATAAGCCCTGATGGAGTCCCCTCTCTTTCCCCAGATCTGTGCCTCCTGGGAAGATGCATTTGCCCCTGATACTGCTGGCCACAGTGGGCACCTGTCTAGGCCTGCTGATGGCAGCTGCCACAGGCACTCACCCTGCCCAACTGGACACTCCCAGCAGGCTACCCACCCACCAGCGCCAGAAGAGACACTGGATTTGGAACCAGATGCACATTGAGGAAGAGAAAAACACCTCGCTGCCCCATCATGTGGGCAAGGTAAGGCTCAGGCCCAGAGCAGCAAGTGGCCCACGGTGAGGGCGGTGGTGGTGAAGGTGGTGGTTGTAGGGTTGGGGGTGTAATGAGGGTAATGGTTCTGGTGGTAGAGATGGTGGGGGTGGTAGAAGTATTGGTGTTGGCGGTTGAGATAATGAAGGGAAAGATGATGTGGTGATGATGGTGGTGATGATAGTGGTAATGATGATAATGGTGGTGATGATGTTGGTGGTAGTAGTGGTGATGGTAATGGCGGTAATGATAGGGATGGGGAAGAGGAAGGTGATGGTGGTGGTGGTGGAAGTGATGATAATGGTGATAATGGTGATGATGAAGGGGAAGTTGGTGATGGTGATGGTGGCAGTGATGTGGTGGTGGTTGGGGTAGTGATGATGGTGATGGTAAAGAGGAAGGTCATGGTGTTGGTGTTGGTGTTGGTGGTGGTGGTGGGGGGGAAGAGGAAGTTGTTGATGGTGGTGGTAGTAATAGTGGCCAGGAGAGTGATGGTGGTAGTGGTGATGTGTTGTTAGTGATGTGGCTGTGGTGGAAATGATGGTGAATGCTATGGTGTATTTTCTCCCAGACCTTAGTCTATGGACCAAATATCCCTGGTAGAAGTGCCACCCCAGGCACAGGCAGAGATGACCAGTTCAGGGCTTAGGGCAGAAGCAGCCAAGCCTGCCATAAAATGTTCCCATCTGAGAGGTTGGAAAACCTGAGCAGCCTTCTACAAAACTGTGCTGGTGTCCAAGTTAGTCATCCCGGCCATCGTTGGCCAACCCTGGCCTGGGCCTTTGCACTTTCTCCAAAAAATCTTTCTCTCGGTCTATCCCTCCCTAGTTTTCTGTCACCTGACACCACTCCCCAGATTCTAGCACACCCACCACAAGGTCCCTGACTGACACACACCTGCCCTCCAGGGCTCCAACCCCCACCTCCTTCCACTTTAAAACATGCTCAACCCCAGTCACCTTCCTAGAACTCAGACTGACAGTGAACTGCCTTCCTGTGTCACACTGTTCCTGATGTCAGAACCACTCTAATTCAGACGAATAGCTCTAGTGGTGGATTTCATACACGATGACAGGTAGATGGAGTAGGTCTTTTGAGAGCATTCAGTGAGGAAAGCATTTCTTTCAAGCGCATAAAACCTCACCATGTCAGTTTCTTGGAATCTAAACATGGCTGTCTACAGAAGTACCAGATCAATGCGCTGACGAGAGGAAGTAGGGTGCCAAGCACGGGCGAGGCTCTGGGGAGGCCACGGTGGGCAAAGATAGCCTGGCCCCCATCCTTCTGCAGCTTGTGGTCTAAAATAAGGGCTGCCAGAACCAGCCCACCACACGGCTTCATATATACAGATTTATGGGGACAGTCACATGATTTACACATCGCCGTGGCTGCTTTCACGCTACGATGGCATATTTGAGTTGTTGTGACGAAGACCCTATGACCTACGAAGCTGGAAATATTTACTGTCTGGCCTTTTACAGAAACAGTTTCCCTAGTCTAGAGGGATAGCAGACAGTAGGCAGGGAACCCCGCAAACAGCACTGATGGAGGAGCCCCGTGGCTATAGAGAGGACCCTGGATGGAGGAGGGCGCAGTCCGGCCGCCCATCAGAAACGCCACAACAGCGGGGGGAACCCATCCACAGCCCCGCCAACAGCCAGCCGACTGTGCCCAGGGTCCCAAAAGGGACTGGGACGTTTAAATCGCTCGGTGCGGCCACTCAAGGGGAAAAGACACTTGCCCAGGACACAGCCCTAGGAGAACGCACGAAAGCATCAGGCTCCTGGCTCCTGACGTGAATCCTGTGTCACAGAGGGAAATATCACCAACCCACCCACGTCCTCTGTAATGAGATAATTGTGCCATGAGTCAGCCGCGAAGAGAGTGGCCGGCTCCAAGGAGATCTGCAGGATGAGTCAGAGAGAATCAGCCGAGAGCAGCGGCACCTGTGTCGCACACAGCCCGACACGCAGCCTCTGCGGGCTCCCCCAAGGGCCCCCGGCAGCAGGAAGAGCATCAGGCCTGCCGTCATCTGCCATCAGCGCTCACTTGGCACCTGGAACTGGGCTGGGGGACAGAGCAGCCGAATGCAGTCCCCACCCCCGATAGACGCGAGGGTACATGGGAGGGACAAGGACAGGGCCCCTAGGATCACCTCCTGACTCCCAAAGACGTCATCCGAGGGAAGGAAGTCCCTGTTTACCAAGGCCAGAGCGCAGCGCCTTTGTTTACAGAGCTGGTTGGACAATGGGCATGAGGCCTGGGCAGACTTCTGAATCCTCAGACATGGGTCAGCGTGGCTTTGGGCATTAATACCGCATGTCCAAATATACTGATCATTTTAAAAATATATATTTTACATAAACAGACTCTTTGTTATATGTTTTTATTGATTTTACAGAGAGAGAGAAAGGGAGAAAGGGAGAGGGAGAGAGAGAGAAACATGGATCGGCTGCCTCCTGCACGTCCCCCTAACTGGGGATTGAGTCTGGAACCCAGGCAAGTGCCCTGACAGGAATTGAACCTGTGATCCCTCGATGCTCAGCCAACTGAGCCACACTGGCCAGGGCTACAGTGATAACGTTTAAACCCCTTCCCCGGCAGAAACGTGTATACTCATTTTCACAAAATGTTCTTTTTCAGTCGTCGATGAGTATACTAAGAAAATATGGTAAAAAAATATGGTTTATAGGAAGACGAGTTACAAACTGTTTTCATAACCAGCATCAAAAATACTATATAGAACCAAAATAAAAAAATTAGTCTGAAAAAGAAACGTTTTTAACAAAAAAATTGTTGGGGAAGGGGTTAAAGAGGAGGGCTCCCCACAATCTATACCCTCAGCCTGATTATGGGGAAAACGTCAGACAAATTCCAACAGAAGGACATCCTACACCCGGGCATCTCTAAACGGGCAGGGTCATCATCAGAAACACTGAAAGTCTGAGAAACTGTCACAGCCCAGAGGAGCGGACAGAAACCTGATGACTGGATGTCATGTGGTGCCCTGGATGGGATCCAAGAACAAAAAAGGGGCATCCAGTAAAAACTTTAAAAATCTGCATAAACTGCGTACTTGGGTCAATGATAACGTAACAGTATCGGTCCATTAATTATAACGAAAGTACCAGACTAGTGTGAGATGTCAGTAATAAAGGAAGTTGGGAGCAGGAAGTACGAGCACCCTCTGTCGGAGGAAGGGTACGTTCCAATGAACTCTCACACGGAGTGCTAACAGAACAGATCAAAGCTGACTCACTCCCCCTCACTACCCTAACCACGTGGATCCCAGCACACCGATCGGAACCAAGTTTGGAACTACCCTTGTATCCCTAACCCTGAGCAACCCATACAGGGCCCCCGACCGTCCCTTCAGGCCACCGGTGAGAGCCTCACTGTTCATCAGTGAGCGACCCACGTATCCATCGCAAGATGAATGGATAAAGAAGATGTGGTACATATATACAATGGAATGTTAGTCACCAATAACAAAGAACAAAATCTTGCCATTTGCAACAACATGCAAGGACTTTGAGGCTAGTATGCTCAGTGAAATAAGTCAGAGAAAGACTTACATGTGAAATCTAAAAAAAAATCAGACTAACCAAACCAGAAGAAAAACTCATAGATACAGAGAACAAACTGATGGCTGCCAAAGGGGAGGGCGGTGGAGGAATGAATGAAAAGGGGGAAGGGGACTAAGAGGTACAAACTTCCAGTTACCTATGTATATAAAAAGCCAGCAACCGGAACACCATAACAACCAGAACCACCGGTCACTGTGACGCCCACTGTGGCCAGCAAACCAGCCTTATCAGAGGGCGGTGGCCAATCGCCCATGGCCCTTCCCCCAGACCGTTGGCCCCCCCACCCCCCATCGACCACCCCCTGGGGGGAGAGGCCGTGGGCCAATGGGGAAGGTGAAGGCTCGGCCCCTCCCCCAGACAGCTCTATCCCCAATCAGCCCCCCCACACACACACCAATCAGGGTTGGGGCTGGCCAGCCAACCTCCCCCACCTCCTCCTCCTCCCAACAGGTCCTGATCTGTCCCCATTGGGGCCAGGCCGGCTGGACCCCACCTGTGCACAAATTCGTTCACTGGGCCTCTAGTAAATAAATAATGAAGTACCTATGAGAATGTACTGTACAGCACAAGGAAAATAGTCAATATTGTCATCATAACTTTGCACGGTGACAGATGGTTATCATCCTTATCATGGTGGTCACATTATAAGGAATACAAATGTCGAATCACTGTGTTGTACTCCTGAAACTAACATGATACAGTATGTCAACTATACTTTAATTTTTTTAAATTGCAGTGTCCCATTTGGATCCCCGGCCAGTACCACACATACACACATGTGCACAAACATGCATGTGTGTACATACACACACATACATGCACACAGGAACTTGCATACTCACATGTGCACGCGCACATGCGCACACAGCCACCGCTGCCCATTCCCAGCTCAGAGCACCTCTTCTTTCCTAGATCATATCGAGTGAGAACCGCAAGAACACCAAGTACGTGCTGCGAGGAGAGGCGGCAGACAAGATCTTCCGGGTCAATGAGGTCACGGGGGACGTGTTTGCCTTTGAGAGGCTGGACAGGGAGAAGACCTCCCAGTACCACCTCACTGCCCTCATAGTGGACAAGAACACCAACAAGGAGCTGGAGCCTCCTTCCAACTTCCTCATCAAAGTTTACGACGTGAATGACAACTGGCCTGTGTTCACTCACCCGTTTTTCAACGCATCTGTGTCCGAGATGTCAGCTGCGGGTATGTGCTCAGTCTGTCCCTCTCTCCTCTTCCTCCCCCATCCCCAGCCTGGAGGCACCGCTCCATCAACAACCTCAATGTCTGAGGCTAGGATTCAGTGAGTTTAGGGCAATGATTGTAATGACCCCAGCCATAGACTGAGCCCTGATCCTGATCACAGACTGAACCCTGACCCTAGCCATAGACTGAACCCTGACCCTAGACATAGACTGAGTCCTAATCCTGATCATGGACTGAGCCCTGATCCTGCTCGCAGACTGAGCCCTGATCCTGCTCATACTTCCTCATCAAAGTTTACGACGTGAACGACAACTGGCCTGTGTTCACTCACCCATTTTTCAACGCATCTGTGTCCGAGATGTCAGCTGCGGGTATGTGCTCAGTCTGTCCCTCTCTCCTCTTCCTCCCCCATCCCCAGCCTGGAGGCACCGCTCCATCAACAACCTCAATGTCTGAGGCTAGGATTCAGTGAGTTTAGGGCAATGATTGTAATGACCCCAGCCATAGACTGAGCCCTGATCCTGATCACAGACTGAACCCTGACCCTAGCCATAGACTGAACCCTGACCCTAGACATAGACTGAGTCCTAATCCTGATCATGGACTGAGCCCTGATCCTGCTCACAGACTGAACTCTGACCCTAGCCATAGACTGAGCCCTGATCCTGATCAGGGACTGAACCCTGACCCTAGCCATAGACTGAGCCCTGATCCTGATCATGGACTGAACCCTGACCCTAGTCACAGACTGAGCCCTGATCCTGATCAGGGACTGAGCCTTCACCACCAGAGGCACACATGTCTGATTACTTTTCCGAGCAAACCCCACCCACTCTCTGACTCTCAGGACTGACACAAGAGCATAGCTTTTGCACATGAATAATGCCAGCTGTGCCACCAAGGCCAGACAAGTCCTGTCTGGGATCCATGCAGGAGTAGAGGGGCGAGGACTGGGGCCCTCACTTCAAGGTGTGTCACCAGCCTGGACCACAGGCCTCCAGAGATTACTATTCATTCAGTTCCACCCCAAGCTTCCAGGAGGTGCCTGAAAAGGGTTCCCTTCCCTCCCTTAGTCCAGGAGCCCCGGCCAAGGCCCTGGGACCAGACCTTCCTATTAAGGAGGGGGGTCCTGGTATTCAAGGGGAAAGAGCTGTAACCTCCACCCCTGTGGGGGTCTCTTCCCATGCCCTTGTTTCACTTTCCAGGGCAGGAAAGAAGCACCCCTCACTCTCCTAGGTTCGTCCTCATGACCCCAACCACGCGCCCCTTCCTCCCTCTCCCGTAAATGGAAGCCGCCTGCTCTCTCTGCCCCCTTCGAGGCCGATCAGGCTGGGCCTCCCCTGCTGCCAGCACTTTGCCCCCATGCAGGCTCCTCAGGAAATAACACAGCCTTTTCTCCCTGGGGCCCTGGGGGAGGTGGGTTCAGGGGACACCCAGCTGGGAACGGGGTGGGGCTGGCAGTCACAAGGCTGCAACCCCTGGACTCTCTCTCCACAGGAACCTCCGTCTTCCAACTGACAGCAGTGGATGCAGATGACCCCACCGTGGCAGAGCACACCACCGTCATGTACCACATCCTGAAGGGAGACGAATACTTTGGCATTTCTAACTCTGGTCTGTGAGACTGACCCTCCTCTGGCTCGGGGGGCGTTGAGGGGGGCAGACATTCCAGGTGTGGGTGCTGAGGGAAGCCCAGTCTGACAGGGGTCACTGTCCACTGGGCCACACTGTGCTAAGGAGGTGGTTGGTATCCCATGGTAAGACAAGGTGGCTGGTGAGGGCAGAAGGAAGCAGACAGGTGCCCAAGGCACGGACTCCAGTCCAGGAAACAAAATCAGGACCCACGCGTGGACACAGGAGGCAGGAGTGGAAGCTGGTTACAGCTCTGGGTGCAGGTTCAGACACACCTGGCTGCCAGGCCCAGCTCTCCCACTCGCCTTCTCTAAAGACCTCAGGCAAGTCCAGTAACCTCTGTGAGCCCTAGTTCCCACACCCCAGAATGGGATGCTTCTATTCGTCCTGCACGGTGGTTGTGAAGTTTAAGTTTGATATGATAAATAGAGAGCACATGGCCCATTGTAATTATACACTCAGTGTGGCTTTAAGAACTGTAAGGACTGCCCTGGCCAGCTGCTCAGTGGTTAGAACATCAGCTCTCGGACCGAAGGGTTGTAGGTTTGATTTCTGGTCAAGGGCACGTACCTTGGTTGCAGGTTTGCTGCAGGTTCCCCAGCCCCAGCATGCAGGAGGCAGCCAATCAATGTGTCGCTCTCCTGTTGATGTTTCTCTCTCTACCCCCACCTCCCTCCCTTCCACTCTCTCTGGAAATCAATGTAAAATATACCCTCGGCTGAGGACTTAAAAAAAAACCTGTATGGACTGAGTCTTTAGAGCAGGATAGGTCTGAAGGGATGGCAAATACACAGCAGACACACCCTCCCTGCGGGGCGCCACGGTGGGCACACGGATCCAGCACAGCCCTCCTCTACGCTGAGCCGAGAGGGGGCCTCAGGCAGCCAAGGCTAATATTGGACCAAACTGTTTGGGCAGCTCTGGCCTCGAAGTGCAGGGGTGGCGGCAGGGGGTGGTTGGCCAGTGTCCCCCAGCCCTGGCTGCACACTAGAATGCCCTGGGCGCTTGACAGTCAGGGGGCCCTCTGGAGAAGGCCTGGGCACCAGCATTTTCTCCGAGCTCCCCAGGTAACATGGCTCCTGCTGGGACCCTTTCTGCAGGACTCGTCTTCACCAAAGTCAACAACCTGGACCGAGAAACGCAGGCCAAGTACGAGGTCGTGGTGGAAGCCCAAGACGTCCAGGGCCTCCGAGGCGACTCCGGCACGACCACCGTGCTGATCACCCTGGAGGACATCAACGACAACTTCCCCATCTTCACCCAGAGTGAGCCCCTCCCCTGGGACCCTGGGCAGGGCAGCAGGCGGAATGCTCCAGACGCGGTGACCTGGGGCTCGACCCCTCACCCCGCCCCAGGGTGGGCCTAGGGTTCAGGGACGTCACTCTGGCGAAGGAGGGGCCCTGCTCCCCATCCCTGCGCACATTCCCAAGGCTGTCCTACGGCCCCTGACTCAGAACACTGAGCCCAGCCACAGGCTGATTCTCCCCAAAAATGTCTGACAGGAGCTTCCCACAGGCCCTGGGGGGGGGGGGAGGGTGAGGAGGAAGGCGATGGCTCTTCACGTGAACCCTCTAATACTGAGGCAAAGCCGGAGGCTCGGCCTCCCCACGGACAGGCCAGTTTTCCTGAAGTGGCCTCACTGTGCAAGGCTTAAGCTCCCGGAAGGCGGGACTTGCCTCCTTGTCCCTCTTGTCAATGCATAACTCCCCTAGCAAAGTGCCTGGCATACAGTAGGTGCTTAATAACTAGTTGGATGGATGGATGGACAGATAGAGGAGAACTATTTTGCCTTGACACTGAAAATTCCAGTGGCATTATTATTATTAACTAGGGGCAGGGACCGCAGGAGGGCTCCAGGGCATGTCTCACTTATCTTACCCAGTCCCAATCAGCCAGACCCCAGCAGCAAGCTAACCTACTGGTTGGAGCACCTGCCCCCTGATGGTCAGTGCGCGTCATAGCGACTGGTCGAACAGTCGAATGAATGGTCAGACACTTAGCATATTAGGCTTTTATTATATAGGATTATTATTATCTTCCCATGCCCATTTCCCATATCAGAATATATTAGGGGATTAGGAGGGACAATTGCCTTGTGGATCTCATTAACCCGATGCCTTCTGGGGCGCCCTATTTGCATCAGCCAACTACGTCTTTACGGTGCCTGAAGACATCCGTGTGGGCAGCCCCCTGGGCTCTCTCTTTGTTGAGGACCCAGACGAACCCCAGCACCGGATGACCAAGTACAGCATCGTGCAGGGAGAGTTCAGGGACACCTTCACCATCCAGACGGACCCCGCCCACAACGAGGGCATCATCAAGCCCACAAAGGTTTGCAGGCCGGGGGCGATGGGGACAGATGTGGGGTTGGGGGCTCCCAGCATCTCCAGAACTCACCCAGGGCGGCTAGCAGGTCAGAGGCCATCAGAGATGCACTCTGGTCAGCTTGGAGCTAGCCATGTGCTCACGGCCACTGGGACGGCGTAGCGAGGAGAGAAGGATCGGCGGTGCCTTAGGCTGGATCATGCCTGAAGCAGACCGTGAGGCAAGGATTTGGTGTAAACAGTTTATGTGGGAGGGGATCCCAGGAAGCCCCGGCAGCAGTGACAGGAGAAAAGGAGGAAGAAGAATCGGCTTCTGGAGGGGTGAGTAGGAGAGTACTAAGCAGGCAAGGGCAGGAGAAGATTCTTAACCAAAAACTTGGGGGCTCCCAGCATCTCCAGAACTCACCCAGGGCGGCTAGCAGGTCAGAGGCCATCAGAGATGCACTCTGGTCAGCTTGGAGCTAGCCATGTGCTCACGGCCACTGGGACGGCGTAGCGAGGAGAGAAGGATCGGCGGTGCCTTAGGCTGGATCATGCCTGAAGCAGACCGTGAGGCAAGGATTTGGTGTAAACAGTTTATGTGGGAGGGGATCCCAGGAAGCCCCGGCAGCAGTGACAGGAGAAAAGGAGGAAGAAGAATCGGCTTCTGGAGGGGTGAGTAGGAGAGTACTAAGCAGGCAAGGGCAGGAGAAGATTCTTGACCAAAAACATAAGAAAAGACTCGTCCTTGAGGAGCTGTGGTTAGAACCACTAATCTTTGATCCCCTCGAGAGCAGGACTGGGGCTGGTCGCTGTGTGTCCCCAGGATTTGGAACAGGGCCAGGCATAGAGCCAGGCTTGAGGGTGGAGCAAGGAAGCAGCTGAGTGGAAGCCAGGCCCAGTCACTCCCCTTGATGGCCTGGGAAATATCACTTCTCCAGGCCTCCAGCCCCTCATCTGTAAAATGGGTATCATCCCGGAACTACCTCGCAGGAGTGCTGGCAAGATCACACGCCACATGCGGGTCTCTAAACAGGGGCTCACCATCCTCTTCCCTCCACAGCCCCTGGACTACGAACGCATCCAGCAATACAGCTTCACCATCGAGGCCACGGACCCGACCATCAACCTCCGCTACTCAAGCAGCGTCTCCGCCAAAAACAAGGCCCGGGTCACCATCCATGTCACCGACGTGGACGAGCCCCCCGTCTTCCAGAAGCCCTTCTACCACTTCCAGCTGCAGGAGAACCTGAAGAAACCTCTCATCGGCTCCGTGCAGGCCGTGGACCCCGACGCCGCGCGGAGGAGCATTGGGTGAGGAGGGGGTGAGGAAGGGGGTGGTCATGACAGTCCTGGCCTGAGGTCCTTCTGGCTGCTGGACTGAGCCCAGGCCCAAAGGGAAAACCTCCCCACGCGTACGTGGGAAACGCAGAGTCAGGACTAGCAGCCAAGCTCTCCCACCGGCCCACGTGGCCCTCTCTTCCACCCTCTGGGACCGTGTCCTGCTTGAGCACCACCTAGACAGCCACCAGAGCCGCTCAGCCTTGAAGGGCCTGTTCTCTGGACCCCAGCTCCCCCAGGTCTGGCTCCCCCAGGCCCCATCGAGGGAGACCTGGCGGTCGAGAGGGCAACCAACCAGACAACATATGTAAATTCTCTGCACTCAACACGCTTTATTAAATCTGTCTTCCCAAAACACAAGAGGGAAAAGTGCTCATTTCACAGAGAAATGACACAGAGATGGATAAAGAAACATCAGCAGCCCCCCACTCCCAGATAACACCTGTTCACCAAACTCGTGTTTGATGGGGTCCTATCACGCCTTTCTTCATGGCAAACGGCGAGATGCGTTAACAGCAGGTTTGTTGTTTGCTTGTCCGGTTTGGGTTTTTTATTGTTTTATTTATTTTTTATCATGCCACGCCCACTTCATCACTACTTGTTCTTCTGTCTCAACTAGACTCCTCTCTTCTACCCCCGGGACAAAAGATGTAGTTCTAACTCGTACTTTCTAGAGCCACTTAATATTTGATAGTGCGTATGAATTTAATACAATCTCATGTTATTCCCGAGGGTTAGCCGATTGTACCAGCACCAAATAAGTAAACTCCTGGTTTCCTGACCCTCTTTATATACTAGGCTCCTGTCTGCATCCAAATCTATTTCTGAATCCTCTATTCTATCTATTCTCTGGAAAAGCCATCCTGTTTTATTGTAGCAGCTTTACACTGAAACTTGGTGTATAGAGGGTAAGGCCCTCCCTCCTTGCGTTTTACCTTACATACTTTCTATGCACCCTAAAACAGTCTTTCTTGTGAATTTTTAAATTCTTTACCCAGTTTTTTAAAACCCATTGGAATTCTAATGAGAATCGTGTTTACATATCAATGTGGGGGAGTTAATGTTTCTATGTTATCGTGGTCTTCTTTAAGGACAAACATGTCCCTCCTTTCTGGCCACATCTACGTTCCCGGGCTACTGCTCTCATGGCTATTCTACTCTACATAGTCTGTGATGATCGCTTTTCTTCTTCACTGACCCAAGGGTTAATTTAAGATTGGCTTTTTTCTTTTCACTTACCAGGGGTAGGGTATTTTGTGTTTTTGCTTTAACTTGTTCCGTGATGTAATATAATGGTATCTGTGTTCATTTTTTTCCTTGACACTTTTGCTTGATGTCTTTTAGTGTTTCTAATAGTTGATAACTATTTACCTTCCCTACAACTTCTTTTATCCTACGACCTTACCCAGTTTGTTCCGCCTAAACATTTTGCCTTCAACTCCACGTAGCCTGATGTTAAGTTCGCCAGTCCTATGTTCATGTTATTCGTGTTTGCCTGATATATATTTTCCAAACTTGACTCTTAACTTTGCTAGGTCATTTGGCATTAAGTTGTCTTCCAAAAATACAATGCAGTTGACTCTGCTTTTTCATCTAAACTGGGATACTTGTGTGTAACCTATTTATATTTTTCATCATAAGTGACATGTTTAATTTTATTTTTGTATCTTGTTTTACATTTCCCATTTCTCAAACTTCATGGGGGGGGGGGTTCTTTTCCCCCATCTATGTTGTTTTCTCCAAGATATTTGGGTACAGTACATTCATTTTTACTTTTATCAGTGAAATTTACTCCCATCTATAAAATTATAAATGTTTCCCAGGACCTACATTTTCTAGTTAAAAATCAATCTCTCTCTCTCTCTCTCTCTCTCTCTCTCTCTCTCTCAAGCACACACACACACACACACAACACCATTGCTTTTTTATATATAATAATAAATCAATAGTTTCATTTTAATTCCTCCCAAGTTTTTGCTTTATATTGAGACATTTTTCAATTAGATGAAGTTTAAAAAAAAAAATTTTTTTCAGGACCTATCTTTGTGGATGAGAGCTTTCATTCCTGATTTCTTGCATCTCTCAAGAATACCACAGTTTGTTTTGTTTTGTTTTGTTTTGCCTTCTTATGTTCATAACATCCAGATGTGCTTGTCTAATGCTCAGATTATAGACACTTCGCTCCAAAACTACTATCAACGTGTTCTAGCATTTAATTTATGGGGACTTTCTGGGGTGACTCTGGTTGCTCTTTATAAAAATGCTTTTTTTTTTCCTGACTGGATTCTTCAGTTTCTTTGTATAGACTTAAAATTCAAAAGTGCCATCAGGATATACCTAAATACTGATCCCCTTTTAAAACCATGCCTCATATCAATGGCCTCTTTTAATCTCTAGATTCAGGCCTTTCTTCAGATCAGGAAAGTTTCCTTTCGTTATATCTTTTGTTATTTCTTCTGTTCCATTTGCTCTGGAAGTTTCTTCAGTAGAGGCAAATAATTATTATAATTATAGTTTTCTTTTCTCTTTTCACCTGTTCATTCCTTTGTTTATGATTTCTGGAAGAACTGTTCACAGTTTTACTTCACAGATTTAATTGTCTTTCACTCACTTATCTCTTACAGCTCCTTTTATTTTTTTAATTTCTTCCTGGCTCCTGCCCAACTATCTTTTCATTCATCACAAGCACAATCCCAGCTATCGGGTAGGTGATGAAAGTGCACCTGTCTCAGCTCTGAGAGCACTGTTGATGGAGTGTCAGGCACCACCCTCACATCAGAGATGACAACAGCGCTAAGATCAAAGGGATCACCTCGCTTCTCTGCACCCCTCTGGGTGGTGGGGTGCAATGGGCAGTGAGAAGAGGACGGAGGAGGATGCAAGGGACAGATCCTAAAGGGCCTCGTCTGTCATCCTAGGGAAGTGAACTCAGAAAAGAGCAATAGAAAGCCACAATTCTCTCTCCCCCGGCAGATACTTCATCCGCAGGACCAGCGACAAGGGCCAGTTCTTCCAAATAAGCAAGCAGGGGAATATTTACAACGAGAAAGAAGTAGACAGAGAAGTCACTCCGTGGTATAACCTGACTGTGGAGGCCAAGGAGCTGGATTCCAGAGGTGAGTGACCCCATCTGCCAGGCCATCGGGGCTTTTCTCCTTTCCTTCCTTCATTCGCAGTTGCATCAACTGTCACGGTGGGTCTCTGGCGGTTTCTGAGCTCCCACTGAAGCACCACTTGGCTGGGCTGCAGGCAGCCTTCATCCCCGAGGGCGGAAGGACCAGCAAGCATCATATCCCCTGAGACCTTGTTATCAGGGCCAAGTGCCCCAACCCCAGACGGAAACAGAATCCCATGCGCAGTACGGTGTATGAAGCCCTGTCCCCGTGACAAGAATCGCCTGGGGCACCTCTTAACATAGAGCTTTTCAGACCCCTCCCTGGAGGTTCAGGTCCAGTGAGCCAGAAACGGGGCCAAGAACCATGCATTGGACAAGCGCCACATGATTCTTATGATCATGGATTTGGGAAAAGGCTGTCTGGGGCTCGCTATGTCCCAGTTAGGGGGTTGAATTCAAAATCTGCGGCAGGTTCTAACTCCAAGATGGTTAGGTTCTCCAGAAATTGGTGTCACATGCGCCAAAGGGAAAGGCAAGAGTTGGAGTTTTGCACCCTTGGCCTCTATGAGAAAATCACACTGCCCTGCAGAGAAAGATTAACATCCCGCCTCACCCAGGAGACCACCTCCCCCTCTTCCCCCGCCCAGAGAGGGGGCGAAAGTGGGACTTAGCCAAGGCCCCCCCGTGCTACTCACACCCCCAATATGACAGCCAGGCCAACTGTAATGACTCCTGTGTCTTCAGATCCATCTTTAGCCCTTTCTTCCCCATCTAATTACAGTCATACACTTTTTAGATTTTGAAAGTAATTTAAATTTTAAAAGTTATTTGCTGTTTCTTTTAAAATACTGAAAATACAAACTAGGAGAAGAAATGTTCCCCCGTAATCCTAGCATACAGAGACCACTACTGTTAGCACTTTAGTGTACCTTCTGTGGTCCTTTCTCTATACATATTTTTTACAGAAGTTTATAATATTTGTATCAACTCTTATCCTGCATTTTTACTTAACCTTATTTCAGAACCATTTTCTCATGGTTCTAACCCGTCGTTTTTTAAATTACATTTTGAAAATGTAATTTACATGGGCATTATAAATGGCCAGATATTTCATTCTTGTAAAGTGGTATAATTTATTGACCCAATCTCACTTACATTGTTTACCTTTTAAATCATTTTCTAATTAAGTAATTTAATTTAATAAATTATACTTGTTTAAATTAATTTAATTACTTAATTAAATCCTTAGATTAGTTTGGTGATGACTTAACTCAATTTTATGAAAAGCTTTTTAAATTCCCTGAGATTACCTTTTCATTCTTACAAGTACTTCTTTAGGAAGCATCCTTGTGCATGAAGCTTGCCCCGCCCCCCACCTCTTCCACTCATTTCATCCAGAATACCTTCCCTGGCCTCTCTCTTCCATGGCCCCCTCTTCCTATGAGAAGGGCCCCCCTCCAGGAGCCCCCATCCACACATCAGCGGAGCCCGTTGCAGTGACAAGTCCTTTCCCCCTACAGGGAACCCCACGGGCAAAGAATCCATCGTCCAGGTCCACATCGAAGTTCTGGATGTGAACGACAACCCCCCAAAGTTTGCCAAGCCCTACGAGCCCACAGTGTGCGAGAATGCTGAGAAGGGCACGGTGAGTCTGGCTCGGGTGGGAGGACAAGGCGGTGCCCACCTGGGACAGGCTTCAGAGCAGCACCTCCCACCCACAGTCAGTTGCTTAATGTGACCTGCACAACAGCCTTGAGGAAAGGGGACATTGTCCCCACTGTATAGGTGAAGAAACTGAGGCTCAGAGAAATACGCGGAGAACAGATTGGCGGGGAGGGGGCTGGTACAAAGAGTATCTTTGCGGAGGTCATTTAAGTCAGTGTTGCAGGTGGGAGGCAGCCAGGGTCAGGTCTAAACCCAAAGTCTCCATCACTGAACTCCAGACAAGCCCAACATCATCACTGACCACCCCTATCTTCCACACTCCAGCTGGTGGTGCAAATCTTGGCAACAGACGCGGATATAACGCCAAAAAATGTGAAGTTCAAATTCTCCCTGAACACCCAGGACAGCAACTTCACCCTCACGGATAATCACGGTACGTCCACATCAAAGTAGTTAGCCTGGCTCTTAGGAGGGTCAGGAGGGAGGTTATTTGAGTCTTAAAGCACCAGGGTCAAGGCTCAAGCCAACAAACTGGGGGCAAGGCCTCATTAAGGTTTTCATTTCATGGCATATTTTGTACATCTTCTGCCAAATACCTCATTGGCCTATACAATGGTCAGAGGTGCCCTGGCCAAACTGTCCAGTCCGCATAGCCTGCTATTTCCCAAAAGAGACGAGGCGTACAGAATAGATATGGGTCCAGACAGTCAGTTCGGTTCCCAAACTAGCCAAGGGATTCCTTCTCACACACAATCTCTGAGCTCCGCATAATTACAAATTACGCTATGACATGGAACTTTGAGGTCACTTCCAAAAAGTCAAAACTGGATATGTGAAATTCGAAATGCCAAGGAATCAGAAAACTTGGTCTTAATTCAATTACAATAACTACTTACCGCCCCAGGCCTGGGATAGGATCTGGTCCGCCAATCACAGCCCAGAGAGTCCTATGATGTCAGTAGTAGCCAATCAGAGCTTCCAATGAGTAAGCGCTCAGGAGTGAGATCACGCTGAGTTGATTGCACTCTGGTCACTGGTAGACAGGTTTCCGTAGCTTCAGCAGCTTCCTCAGAAAAAAAATAAAAATCCCCCTTAAATCTCACTAGAGCAATCCATCACCCAGCATGGGGTGGAATTCCTGCCTGTCCCTGATTGGCAAAACTGTGGTTGGTGAGGATCCCTGTAAGGACACAGCCACTGCAAGGTCAGGATGAGGAAGGTCGGGAGAAGGGGTCTCTGAGAGCGGGGGCAGACCCAGAGGATCGGCCACTACCTCCTGGGGGGCAGGGAAGGTGGCCATGACGTGTTGACAGTCAGTGACGGACCACTCAGCGTTCAGCTGTCTTTAGTAGTAACTAATGTGGCCAAAATACCCATCACCCCATCCCAAGGTCCACCTCAATCCCACCTCAGAGAGGTCTGCAAGCGGGTGGGAAGCTTCAGTGCTACCCCAAGGAGCCCCCACGTGCGGCCAGGAGGCAAGCTTGTTGGTCTTGGATTCACTGAGCGTGAGGGTCCTGCTACAGCATTAAATGGGAATAGTGAGAAAGCGCTCATTTCTCCCATAGTGTCATTGGCTACTCAAGTATAACAGACAAGGCTACTTAATAATGAAATGAACTGGCTTTCCTTTGAAATCTAAAATATGGCCTCCTTTACTTTTGGCTGGCTTGCTGCATGGACCAACCCTACACAGTGGCCAAATATCCACTCCAAATCTTGTGCCCTCCCCAGACCATCAGTATCATGACCTCCCAGGAAGCCTACAAGGGGATGATTATCTGGCCTCTGCCCAAAGCCTCAGAGTCAGCCATGGAAGGGGGATAGGGACGCAAGGAAAGGAGGTGGCTGGGAAGGGGTGAGGTCTGAACGCCTGCAGGTTTAAAACGCTCCCTGGGGAGTTCTACACAGGACACCGTTGATTGGAGCTGGGAGGGAAAGTCAAATTCGGGCCTAAGCCCCGCCCCAGGCCCAGCCTGCCCCAGATATCCTCAAGTCCATATGTAATCATTCCCTCAGCACGCCCAGGCAGAAACGTAAGCACTGTTTTTACTTTCTAGCCAATTTGCAGGGATAACAGAAAGAGTCTCAGAAGTTGGCCCGATGTAAAAGGCTTTTTAAAATCTTATTTCCCCGATTATTATCTGTCAGAGCTTAAAACAATACATTCATTAACTGAGCTGAAAGAGAGTTGCTTATCATTAGAGTGGAGTTAGGGAGGAAGGGATCAGGCATATCAGATGCCCACAGAAAGAGAAAACAGGGATTTTACATCCTGGCCAAGCCAGTCTTAGAAGATACGTCCAAGGAGCTGCCCAAAATATCCCCCCTCTGGAAGAACAAAAGGCTGAAAGATAAGGCAGGGGATGCAAAGAACACAGAGGCGCTCCAGGTGGCACATGGGCGGGCCCAATCCAGGAGGACTCCCAGGAGGAGACAAACTACACTGTCAGGGCGGACAAGGGGACAGGCACTCCCAGCAGCACAGCCTGACTCTGAGGCCCTGTTGTGCTTCCAGATAACACGGCCAACATCACCGTCAAGTACGGGCAGTTTGACCGGGAGCATACCAAGGTCCACCACCTGCCTGTGCTCATCTCGGACAACGGGAGGCCGAGCCTCACCGGCACCAGCACGCTGACCGTGACGGTGTGCAAGTGCAACGAGCATGGCGAGGCCACCTTCTGCAACGGGAAACTCTATCAGGGCTACAACATCATCCCCGTGCTGGTCGCTATCTTCCTCTGCATCCTCACCATCACAGGTCAGTGCCCGGGGGCGGGAGGGGGCAGGGAGGGGGCTGCTCCAGGGAGGGAGAGGCCAGGGATCCAGGTCAGTCCTGCCTCCAGCCCACAGGATAGCCCTGAGCCAGTCCCCACCCTGAGCCCCAATGAGATAGGACTGCCAACTTCACCTCCCTGGGTGCCTAAATGGGGGGGGTCAAGACTACACAGTACCACCGAAACCGGTTTGGCTCAGTGGATAGAGCGTCGGCCTGCGGACTGAAAGGTCCCAGGTTCGATTCCGATCAAGGGCATGTACCTGGGTTGCGGGCACATCCCTAGTAGGAGATGTGCAGGAGGCAGCTGATCGATGTTTCTCTCTCATCGATGTTTCTGACTCTCTATCTCTCTCCCTTCCTCTCTGTAAAAAATCAATAAAATATATTTTTAAAAAATTCTTTCTATACGACGTTCAACTTCCTGTGTGCCAGGCACCATTCTTGGCACTTATCTACATGAAAACTGTTTTGAAAACAGAGGATCCAGTTCCCCCTTTGGGAAGAGAAGCAAAGTGTAAAAACGTCTTGTTCTGATGATCTCCGGGAGCTTTCTTCCCTTTTAGAGGGTTCCTCCTGCCGGGATGTCACTTTTTTTCTGGTTGGGAGCATTTCAGGCCTTGCCGTAGTTTCTGGGTTTCCCCAGAAGCAGAACCTGGGATTGGGGTGCACGTGGTTTGTTTGGGGGGTGCTTCCAGGAAGCCCAGAAGGAAGAGATGCAAACGGGAGACAACCAACAGATCGACGTTGCACTTTCACAATGACATTTCTCTCGGTCTCTCTCCCTCTCCTCTCTCTCTCTTAAATCGATTTTTATTTTATTTTAAATATATTTTATTGATCTTTTACAGAGAGGAAGGGAGAGGGATAGAGAGTTAGAAATATGGATGAGAGAGAAACATCGATCAGCTGCCTCCTGCACACCCCCTACTGGGGATGCGCCCGCAACTAAGGTACATGCCCTTGACTGGAATCGAACCTGGGACCCTT